TTAAGCTGTGGTCATTGCTACTAGCTAGGAATAGGCGTAATCTTTGTGGGGGCGGCGGGGCGTGAGCCCCCGCCGAAATTTTCAGGAAGGTGCTCAGCCTCCCCCGGGAACCACCCTTGCTCCTAGCAAAGCAATGCCTCTGGCCCAGCCCCAGCCCCCCTTGGGAAATTGGAAAGTCTACACCCTTTTGAGCCCAAAGAAGATGGACATTTAAAAGACATCCAGTAACCCTCCATTTTTACAATTCACGAGTGGCTCTGGCATTGCACTTAATCCATCTGACCCTTTTTAATCACCTTATTCAAAGCTTTATCAACACAGTTAACAAATGTCTGGCGCTGTTTCAGCAGAAGGTCAGAGACGTATGGTGCCAAGCCGAGCACTACAACATATGTTTCTTTTGTGTTCTTTATCACCTGCCCCAGACATAAGAACATAAGAGAAGACAATGTTGGATCAGGCCGATGGCCCATCCAGTCCAACACTCTGTGTCACACAGTGGCCAAAAATACCAGGTGCCATCAGGAGGTCCAGCAGTGGGGCCAGGACGCTAGAAGCCCTCCCACTCCCCCCCCCCCGCCGCGCCCATCCAGTCCAACACTCTGTGTCACACAGTGGCCAAAAATACCAGGTGCCATCAGGAGGTCCAGCAGTGGGGCCAGGACGCTAGAAGCCCTCCCACTGCCCCCCCCTGAAGCACCAAGAATACAGAGCATCACCTGCCCCAGACATAAGAACATAAGAGAAGCCAAATGTTGGATCAGGCCAGTGGCTCATCCAGTCCAACACTCTGTGTCACACAGTGGCCAAAAATACCAGGGGCCCTCAGGAGGTCCACCAGTGGGGCCAGGACACTAGGAGCCCTCCCTCTGTTGCCCCCACCCCCAAGCACCAAGAATACAGAGCATCACTTGCCCCAGACCAAGAGTTCCTATAAGAACGGAAGAGAAGCCAACGTTGGATCAGGCCAAAGGCCCATCCAGTCCAACACTCTGTGTCTCACAGTGGCCAAAAACACCAGCACCAGGTGCCATCAGGAGGTCCAGCAGTGGGGCCAGGACATTAGAAGCCCTCCCACTGTTGCCCCCCCCAAGCACCAAGAATACATTGCACCCCTGCCTTGAGGTTCAGGAAAAATATGTAAGGGAACACTGTGCTATAAATAGAGAAGACTTACCTGTTGAGTTCGTCTGCCGGAAAGCTACACAGCCTACTCGAAGATATGTATATGCTTGCTGGCGAATTGTTTATTTGTGGTACGTAGACGTTTCGGGTGTCTTTGATGCCACTGTTTTTTTTTCAAAAGACTTACCTGTTGAATTGAGGACGCCGTTATTTCCCCTCACAGAAGACCTACCTGTTGAACTGAGCAAGCCGCTGTTTCTTTCAAGACCTACCTGCTGAATTGAGCAAGCCACTGTGTGGTTTTTTCCCCCCAGAAGACTTACCTGTTGAATTGAGTAACCATTATGACTTGGCGTTAGCTTTGTAATCGATGGGTTCTAGTTCTCTGACATGGTGTTGTACACGTTTAAAGTGCACTTGGGAAGTTTTCGTTCTAGTATACGATTCTGTTCTTATCAACCTAATGACATATGCATTTGTAATAGTTTTGATTTGGTTTACACATATAGTTGTATATTGTTTGTAAGTGAATCTTCACGGTGTTATTCGTATGTGTTTTTTTCCCCCACCTGGAAGTCGGCAACCCTAGTAAAAGGTAAAGGTAAAGATTTCCCTTGCTCGAAAGCCAGTCGGATCCGACTCTAGGGGGCAGTGCTCATCTCCGTTTCCAAGCCGAAGAGCCAGTGCTGTCCGAAGACGTTTCTGTGGCCATGTGGCCAGCATGACTAGACACCGAGGCGCACAGAATGCTGTTCCCTTCCCACCGAAGTGGTCCCTATTTATCTACTTGCAATTCCTTGCTTTCGAACTGCTGGGTTGGCAGGAACTGGGGCCAGAGACGGGAGCTCACTCCGTCATGCAGCACTCGGGTGTCAAACTGCCGAGCCACCAACCTTCCGGTCTGCAGCTCATAGGGTTGCCAAGTCCATCTTCCACCCCCAGCGGGGGACTTTCGGGGCGTTCCTGGAGGGGGTGGGGCATCACGTTGGGGAAGTCTGCCGCTCCCACCCACCCCCGCCCATGCGCCGGATCTCCAGAAACGGCAGTTCCCTGCACTTAAAGTATCCAGCAGCCGGCGTTTCCCCTTTAAGAGCAGCTGTGTTTCCCTTTTAAGAACGAAGCTGGCATTTCTCTGCAAGCTTGCGGAGTTCGTGCTTGGGAGGAAACACGGGTTGCACACACTTAAAGGAAGAGAGATGGGTGGCTGTGGGTGTTGGGGGTGGGGCTTCCCCCACCGGCCATCTGGCCGGCGGCGGGTAGAACCCCCCCAAAATGGGGGACCCCTGGCAAACCGGGGGGTTTGGCAACCCTACCAGCTCAGCGTCTGGCTAAACGTGGCCTTCTTTGTGGTGTCCCCAAAGGCTCCCTTATCCTTGTTTGCAAGCACTGACTGTCATCCCCTTTCCTCCCCCTGCAGACTTTTTTGAGACTGAACCTGCAAGAGGATGCCCACGAGGACACCACCGGGACCCCTCTGGGATTCCAGCGGACCTTCTCGGCCTGCCCCGTCACCCTCTCCTCTTCCCACACCGGTGACACGGAGCGTCTGGGGTATGCCTCCGTCGCCCCCCTGGCTGCCGCCGACGGGAGTGACCCGGCGTGGCCCCTCCAGGGGGAATGGGCCCGGGACGCCAGGCTGCCCCGCACCAGCCTGCAACGCATCCCCTTTCGGGCGGACCGGTCGGTGAGTCTGATCGAGGGGTGCCGGGGCGAGGCCAAAGCGGTCTCGGCGCGCTACAAGACGGAGCTCTGTCGCACCTTTGAGGAAAGCGGGGCCTGCAAGTACGGGGCCAAGTGCCAGTTTGCCCACGGCGCCCGGGAACTGCGGGGGCTCAGCCGACACCCCAAGTACAAGACGGAGCCGTGCCGCACCTTCCACACCTCCGGCATCTGCCCCTACGGGGCCCGCTGCCACTTCATCCACAACGCCGAGGAACGCCGGCCCCTGCCGCGGGGCCCGCAGGTGCTCCGCCACAGCCTCAGCGCCGGGGAGGCCCTCCCTTCGCCCTCGCCGGCTTCGCCTCCGCCCTCCGCCTCTTGTGCCCTCCGCCTCCCCGACGGCGCCGCCGCCTTCCCCTGCGACTCCCTCGGGTGCTCGCTCTGCAAGACGTCTCTGGGGTCCCCGGGGCCCTTCCCCTTCCCGGGGCTGCTGCTCCTCCAGAAGAGCCTCTCGGCCGATTCCCTCTCAGATCAGGAGGACTCGGGGAGCTCCGGGGCCAGCAGCGGCTCAGCATCCCCAGGCCTGGGGCCCCTGGGCCGACGGCTCCCCATCTTCAGCCGTCTCTCGGTCTCCGATGACTGAGGACGCATTTTGAGGGGGCGCAGGAGCACCCAAGAAGAGAGACGGGCGATGGCCTTTCCCCAGGGAGCCGAAGGGGTTTTGGAAGCAGGGCGGCTGCTCAGAGGTGCCGAGGCGAATCCGGCTCTTGCCGCAGATCAGCAGGTTTCGTAGGCTTCTGGATCGGTTCGGAAACTTGCAGAACCTGTTTGGCCAGAGGCTCCGGGGAGAAAGTGAAACCACTCGCGAACCGTATGAAGCTCTCTGACTGGTCTCTCTCCAGCTTATTGATATTCCCGGAATTTCTTCCCTTCCATCGGTATGGGAGAAAGCAACATCTCTTGTAGGGATGCCGGCCTGCAGGTGGGACCTGGGGATCCCCCTGGAATTACAGCTCATCTCCAGACGACAGAGATCAGTCCCCCTAGAGAAAATGGATGCTTGGGAGGGTGGACTCTATGGCATTGCACCCCACTGAGGTCCCCGCCTTCCCACGGCTCCACAACCCAAATCTCCAGGAGATTCCCAACCTGGATCTGGCAACCCTAGGATGGCCGATGTATAGTCTTGGTCAAGAAGGAATCTGCGAGAGCCATTTCTCAAACGGTGACTTGCTGCAGTGTGGATGTCCCCACACAGTCAGGCAGCTGCTCCGATGTCCAATCCCAGTCAAACAATAGGGACCCCAAGCGTATGTGATATACAGAAATACAAAGGTAAAGGTTCCCTTGCTCGAACGCCAGTCGAATCCGACTCTAGGGTTGCGGTGCTCATCTCAGTTTCCAAGCCGAAGAGCCAGCGCTGTCCGAAGACGTTTCCGTGGTCATGTGGCCGGCATGACTAAACACCAAGGCGCACGGAACGCTGTTCCCTTCCCACCGAAGCGATACCTATTTATCTACTTGCAATTTCTTGCTTTCGAACTGCTAGGTTGGCAACATAATTACAGTCAATCAATTAATAAAGCAGAATTGGTGGTCACAGTTCAAAAAACAATTTGCAGTCAACGCTCCCTTGAAGCTGTGGAGTCTTGCGAGCAAAAATTCTACTTTGTGAGCTACCGGCATTAAAGTTGTGAGCTACGGCATAACTTAGTTTGCTCTGGAGCCTCATCCTTTGTGAGTTAAGGCAAAAATGCGTGAGCTGGAGGCTAAAAAGCTGTGACCTAGCTCACACTAACTCAGCTTAGAGGGAGCACAGGTTGCAATACAAAGCATTCAACAAGAGAAGGTATAACAATTCAAGTAGAAAAAGCCAACGAGAGACTCCTCTAAATCCTTTCAGTATAATAGTGTCCAGAAGACCACAAACAAGGCAGAGGATGTTCCATAACAGAAAGAAACTTCTGCAGCCGAAGACGCCCTTCCTGGGTATGCCAGACGTTTCAAAGCCTTCTTCCTCAGTTACACGGCTGAAGAATGGGACCTGGTTTCCATAATAATCTAGGCACAGCTCAGGTCTCAAGCGGAATCTGTGTCTACTGGTAACTTGTGAAATTTTTGATGGTCTACCCTTTCCGGTTTGTATTTCTGATGTCCGATTACCGCACGGAAGCCTGTGTGCTTCATAGGTTTACAGCTCCAGGTTGGGAAATACCTGGAGGTTCCGTGGCTGGAACCTGGGCAGGGTCAAGTCTAGACAGGGGAGGGACCTCGGCAGGGTGCAATGCCATAGAGTCTGCCCTCCAAAGCAGCCGTTTCCTCCAGGGGAAACTGACCTCTGTCTTCTGGAGATCAGTAGAAATTTGGGGGGATCTCCAGGACCCACCTAGAGCTTGGCAACCCCATGATTCATGTGTCTGTTTCCCCCCCCCTCAGGGCAGGGCAGGGCAGCGACTTCTGCAGGAGGCAGCTCCAAGTGCCTGGGGAAAATGTGTGAATCCCTGCGGGGTCGGGGCCAGCCGTGGGCCTTGTCCACATGGTGTATATGCAGAGAACCTTTCCAGAGAAAGGGCCTGCAGTGGCTCAAATGGTTAAGACGCTGAACTGCAGACCAGAAGGTCGTTAGTTCAACAGTTCGAAACCCGAGTGCCGCACGACAGAGTGAGCTCCCGTCTCTGGCCCCAGCTCCTGCCAACCTAGCCACTCGAAAGCAAGAAATTGCAAGTAGATAAATAGGTACCACTTCGTTGGGAAGGTCACAGCGTTCCGTGCGCTTCGGCGTCTAGTCATGCCGGCCACATGACCATGGAAATGTCCTTGGACAGCGCTGCCTCTTCGACTTGAAAACGGAGATGAGCACCACACCCCTAGAGTCGGAATCGACTGGCTTTCGAGCAAGGGGAACCTTTCCAGAGAACCTTTGTCATGAAATTCAGTAAGACAACAACATTTCCTTTAAAACAAGGACGACAGCAACACCTGCACACTGTGTTCTAATTTTTGCTTGTTAGTGGTGTGCACCGTGTTGGGAACCCCTGCCCCTGGGCCGCATAACACCCCTGCCACCAAAACCTTCCCTTAACCAGACTGGCATGGCCCTGTGGGGCTGTTTCCCCCCCCCCCCCCAACCACCTGTGGAAACACTACACTGTTTTGTTCTCCTTTATTCTAAAGGGCAGGCTGAACTCCCACGTGGCCCATGGCTGTGACACTTCCCGTATTTCTCAAGGCGACGTTCACCTTCGCAGGGTGGTCTTGCAGAGAGACGGAAACCCCCCAACCTCGGGCCTGTGGTCGCCTCCCTCTTCCAGCTAAGAAAGCCAGAGGTGGTGGCAGCGCGTGCGAAATCAGTTGACGGGGATTTCTAAACACCCACAGTTGCCTAATGTCAAAAGCAGTGGGTTTCAAAATGCTTGAGGGGATGGGTGATCGCAAATCTGCATCCAGTCTGCATCCAGTCCCAAAGTCACAGGAAAAGAAGGTTGTTTGTCCCACTGTGAAGGATTTTCCGGGGATGGCAGCAGATGATCCGTGACCACTCAAGGTTGCTCCAGGATCTAGTGTTGCTTCCGTACCGACTGTTTGGGCTGTCGTGGAAGTGGATGGGAAGCAGATTCTTCACCCAACCTCTTTGGAAGGCTTGCAGCCGGTGTTCCCTCTAAGCTGAGTGAGTGTGAGCCAGCTCACAGTTGTCTAGCCTCCGGCTCATACATTTTTGTCTCCACTCGGGAAGGAGGGCTCCAGAGCAAATTAATTTATGCAGCGACCTAATCGTTTGCTCACAACTTTAATGCCAGGAGCTCACAAAGTGGAATTTTTGCTCACAAGACCACAGCTTAAGAGGGAGCATTGCTTAAGTGTTCCCTCTAAGCTGAGCTGGTGTGAGCTAGCTCACAGTTTTTTAGCCTCTGGCTCACACATTTTTGTCTTAGCTCAGGAAGGAGGGCTCCAGCCCAGAGCAAACTAATGTCTGCAGCAGCCAAATCCGCTCGTTCACAACTTTAATGCCCACAGAGCAGAATTTCTGCTCACAAGACTCCACGGCTTAGAGGGAGCATTGGTTGCAGCCAAGCCAGGCTGGTTGCTGTGTGGATGGGAAACACAGGGCTGGAAGGGACCTTAGGGGTCATCTAGTCCAACCCCCCCTGCACAGTGCAGGAAATCCACAAATACCTCCCCAGATCTTTCCAGGTTCCACCCACATTGGCACCATTTCCCCTCTTCCAGACCCCCCCCCCCACACCCTCATTCCCACTTTGGGGAGGTAGTTTAAAAATAGGTAATGGCAATGCTACCCCGAGCCAGCACAGTGTAGTGGTTAAGAGTATCAGACTAGGAACTGGGAGACGCAGGTTCGAATCCCCATTTGTGCCATGGACGCTCGCTGGGTGACCTTGGGCCAGTCACACGCTCTCAGCCTGCCCTACCTTACAGGGCTGTTGTGAGGATAAAAGGGAGTAGAGGAGAATAGCGAAAGCCGCGTTGGGTCCCCTCTGGAATGAAAGTCGGGGTGTAAATGAAGTAAGTAACTAAGCACTCTGTTAAAAATAACCCTCCTTGAAATATCCCCCCCCCCCAATGGCACAGGATAGGAATTGCTGGGGGGGGCAAAGAAAAATCGGGCAGTCCTGGAACATAAGATTGGATTTATACTCCTTTCCCTCCCCCTCCCCATAACAGACACCCGGTGAGGTTGGTGGGGCTGAGGGAGCTCTCTCGAGGACTGCCCGTGAGAGAACAGCTCTGAGAGAACTTGTGACTGGCCCAAGGTCATCCAGCGGCTGCAAGTGGAGGCGTAGGGAATCGAACCCGGTCCTCCCAGATGAGAGTCCGCGCACTTAACCACGACACCAAACTGCAGTGAATCAGCCGCGGCCGTGTGGAAGCCCCAGAGACATCGCGTGGAAGTCAGTCGCTTGGGTTCCGCTTTCCAAGAAAAAAGAAGAAGAATTCCGCGATGGAACTCTGGCGGGATTTCGGCTGAGGCCCTTCCCACTTGCAAAACGTTTCCAAGGAGGAGGAGGACGTGGGACCCACCCTCCCGTGCATAAAAGCATCGATCTTCAAACAAGCAAATCTGGAAGGGAGAGAAGAAACCGCTGGCAACGGACAGCTGCTCCCCTGCTAAGACTTGTCCCAAGAAAGAAAGAGAAACTGACCCGAGGGGTGAAATCGTTTTTGAAGGAGACCCTTCGGACTGAACCTTGCATTTGTGACGCTCCCTTTTGGGAAGGATACCAGCTCTGGGTTGAGAAATACCTGGAGATTTGGGGGTGGAGCCTGGGGAGGGCGGGGTTTGGGGAGGGGAGGGACCTCAGCAGGGTATAATACCATGGAGTCTACCTTCCAAAGTGGACATTTACTCCAGGGGAACTGAACCTGGTTGCCTGGAGATCAATTCTAATAGTGGAAGATCTCCAGGTGCCGCCTGGAGGCTGGCAACCCTACCTATCAGGAGGAATGTACTTGTTCTATTTGACAGAATGTTTGTGAATGTTTGGACTGGTTTAGAGTGGCTCCCGGTCTAACGGAGGTCATATCCAGGGTGCGCACAAGCCTACATCGTCTCAGGCCAAACACCCAAGTGCTACTTAATTGGGGAGGGGAGGGTGTAA